ACGAAAATCACGTGGCGGACAGAGAAACGCTCACATGATCAAAATTTACTCAATGCACCAGAAATATATAGTCCTTCGCTTCGCTCAGGACAAAGAAAATTCGGTTTTGATTGTTTGTTTCAAGGTTACATAAATAATTTTTTATATTTCACAATATAAACAAAGTACATTACAAAATCTCTTACAAAGAATAACCGATCATCGTTACACAAACGACCTATAATAATGCCGTTAAATTAATTGATTTTAAATACAAAATTTATTTGTTTTTAAGTGTACGCCGTACGAAATAAATTCTTTTTTTTTTTCACATGATAATAAGGACGAATTATTATATATTATTGTGATACAAGATTATGTAAAAAAAATCGAATGAAAAAATTTTTTTCACATTATTTCTACTGGCTGATATTACTGAAGCGTTGATATTTTTAACATAAAAAAAATTTTTTTAAATACTAACATCCGGATCCATTACTTCCATTAGAAAAAAATTTACGCGTTCTTGTCCCAATCGTCACTTATAAATATAATGAAACTCTATTTTTCATGTGATTGATTGGCGAAATGATCTTTATCCGCTTTATCTATCTATTTTCAAATCAAAATCTGCATAATAAAGGTTTGTTAAATGTTACCTTGCAAAGACGCCAATCGGATTTTGCTCTTTATTTCCTTTTGAAAATGTGTTGTTTAAAGAAAAAATTTTTTTTTGCATAACGGGACTAGCCCAAATAAGACGCAAAGCGACACCACACACAACACCCACTCCCCGCCCCGCCCACACACACCAACGAAACCGACTGACCAATTGTGAAAAAAAGAGTTCCGTTCTTTTTTTGATAGATATGAGTAAAAAAAAATTTTATGAAAAACTAAATTTAGATTTCTTCGACTAATCTTATTGAGAAAATCAGGCAATACATGCATGTCTCTTCGGTACATGTCTTTATTGAAGGAGTTATGTATAACAAAGTTTCATTAAATAAAAATATCACAAAAGAATTTAAGTATCTATAAGGCTGTAGCAAAAGAAACCAATTTTTTATTTTAATTAGTTTGATCGATAATTTATACTTGGCCTTGGCCTAGTGCATAATTATGTTACACAAAATTGTGTTTTAAATATCACTGACGGATACGAAAGTAATGGCAACATCATGTATTCATTTCTATATATATATATATATATAATGATGATAGATCATATGGGAGAGTTTCTAGGAAAATCAGGTTCCGAGAAATTTTTGACTAAAATTAAGAGCTTAATACATTTTAATCTAATAACATCAAAAACTAAATGCAATAAAAAATCTCAATTTTGTTAAAAATTTCCGGAACCTGATTTTCCTAGCAATCAACCCATATGACAATATTGTATGAAATGCATTGTCTTATTGTTTTCCATTCTCTTTTCCTGCTGGTTGAAAAATTTTTACTTGATTCTACATAATACGCAAACTGAAACTCTTTACCGAATAACTATCAATAACCAATAAAAAAAAAAAAAAATACTACAATCGGGATTCATTTACGCGCTCCTTATTAACAATCGGTGCTATTGTCCATTACTATTATTCATATGATGATACAATCCTTTGCTCTAACCTAACTTAACTCTTCTTCAAAGTCTAGTAACCTTAAATATGCCAAAAATTGATAACTTCATAAACAAAATCGTTCATAATGAAAGTTTTAATGAGCGTTACATTAAAAAAAAAAAAAATACGCCAACGGAATTGTTCGTTATTTCCTTTTGAAGATTTTGTAATATACAGTATATGGGACCTTTGCAATAGAAAAAGGGGAAACGATTGGAAAAAATAAAAAATGAGTTAATGAACATAAAAAGTGAGATTGATTTTTTCCGGCAGTTCACCCATTTCTATTGCAAAGTTCCCATAAATTCTATCTAGGCGAACACCGTTATGCAATAAAAGAATTTTTTTTAACTCTGTTATGTATGTTTCAAACTGATGATTATTTCATTCTTATAAGGAATTTCTTGATAATTTATCATATAAGTGTGATAGCTATCTGATTTTTTTATGTTCAGATTATAAATTCTTTTTTTACTAACATCTTTTACAAATGAATTTATTAATCAACTATTTTTAATTTTAATGTAAGATAAAACTTTAAAGTCATACTTTTATTTTAAACAAATAAATTTTATAGTGCTATGATCAATGATTTTATTCAGCAAGAACAAATTTTGTACCACAAGGACTATAAAACGTCACGCGATTATATGACCGAATATAGTTACTAATATTTTTGTTTAAACAAAAATATTTCTTATAGTTGGATAATCTTTTTTCATATGGTAAATTAATTGACAAAATAAAAAATTTTTGTTCCTTGTTTTTAATGAATACAATAGTTGGAGTTAATTTAGTTAATTTCGATTGTTCACAGTTAACTATGTATTAATTAATTTGTGAATAAATGTATATGTAACATCATGTCACACGTCTTACCTGTGAATTGTTCAATGGCGTCGATTACCCCTCGTTCATTGGTGCATCAATAAAGCAAGACCTGTAATCAAAACGTTTAAAAATTATCCGATTGGGATTACTATACGCGATGAAGCAAATCGCGCAATTGCTGCTAAAATTCCTAATATGAACACAGTCACATTATTTCTCTTCTGTCAGTTTTTTTTGAGATACTGCTCTTTTAAACATACATTCTTTTGCGTAATATCCTTTTTCTTAGTAGCGAAAACAAGTAACATCCTTTTATCCAAATTTTAGTAATATATCCATCATTTGTTAGCTTAAACTTTCTTTCAGATTTTTCTTTAAGTGGTATCTGTAACTACGTTACACAAATTTCAAAAAAAACAAAATTTTACTTTCCGACAAAAATCAAATATCGGTCTGCAAATAAGTTACACAAAATTCCTAAAAAGGAAACATAATTCACCCTGCCCGGCAAAATTTAATTATTTATACAGGTTCAGCGAATAGAAAAGTGGGAAATCTAAATTTTGATAAAATTTTTTTATTGGTCAGCTTTGACAGATCACGGTCATGTATTCAAAGTTAGTATAGGAACTAGGGATGGGGACGGTTCAAAAAGAGCGACTCCGAGTCGGTTCTGGAACCGATTATAAATTCAACATACTCTGGGTTTTCCTGAGTTACAAACCATTTTTAACCAATCGAACCGGAACCGACTCCGGACCGGTTCCAAGAGTCGGCTCAAAATCAGATTGTCATCAAATTAAAGGTAATAATAGGACGAATTTGTTTGATAACCTGTCAAAAAATATTCTTTAAATTGATCGTCACATGATGCTCTATGAGTATAAACTTAACTTAACGCTCAAAGATTAATTTACTTAAAAAGGGTCGAAGTAGGACCGAAGAGGAACCGAAATGGAACCGAAGAACCGCTCCCATCCCTAATAGGAACTAAAATTAATGAAAATTTAAGATTTCCCCCTTTTTTACTGACGCCCTCCCATATAATGCTTCGTAAGGGTAGGGTCGGAGGCATATTCGAACTCAAACCTTTTATTAATTACAGAACCCGAATTCGACTTGAATTTTCAAGGGTAATATTAAAGCAGAAAATAAAAAAAAGTATCATATACATAAAGTCTATTTTATTTTTAAAATTTTATTTTTTTGTGAGCATTAATCCTAATTCTTTTTTTTGTTCATCTTTTTCCACCAGAATTTCAAGCACATACATAAGAATTGTATTAGCTTTAATATCACATCATTTTGTTGATGTCAGATCGGTTCCGCCAGTAAAAACTTGTTCCAGTGGAACACTTGTTGTTTTTATAAAAAAAATTGTATTAGTTAATCGATAAATTTTTTTTTTTACCTGTAATTGTTCACTCCGCAATGTTTTCGTTTTCTCGAAGAAAGTTGTACTATCGGTAACGTCGATAGGTTTATTCATTATTTATTTATTACAAATTTAAAGTCGCGTAATGTAAAACAAAAAAAAGTCTAGCGCGTCAATTTTTATCGATATTGTTTTCGTAAGTCACGGCCAAAAAATAACAATAAACACGTGATATAATATAAAAATCCCGTTTGAATTTTAAACGATTATGCAAATTATTTATTCGCCGGAAAGTGCAACAAATTTGCCGTATGTCCTTTGACTTATGATCGCCTGATCATCCGGGTCACCAGGTCAAGCAAAAACGTGACCCTGAACGGCGGGTTTTATTGAATTAGGATTCGTGTCATTCCCGACTCGAGAAAAAATTTCGAGTCGGGTCAAACAACCCGGGTCGACTCGATCGTTTCGGCCATATTTATTATTTATAAGATTTAGATATAATGGAGAATACAGAAATTAAAAATTTTCTATTTTATAATAAAAATTGTACGTTAAATACCAAAAAAATTCGTTTGGTACTTTCACTTGTGAAGAATTCTATTTGGAGAAAAAGACACACTTTTGATGATAAAAAAAGTTATTTTGTTTATGTAGAAGGAGGTACTCTTGTTAATGAAGAAGAAAATAAATTGTAGTTTCAACTTAGAATATTGTTTTTTCTTTTTACCAAGATGATTTAATTGTTATGACATTTAGAATACAATGTCAAGTGAAACTTCTCATAAAAAATCTGTATTAATATCCATAATATTAATTTTTACTATTTAAATTCATTTTATTTGCCAAGAATTATATGAGTTATGAGGTTGAAAAGTACGAGATAACATTTTTTTTTTCTTTTATTTTCTGGTGGTAAACAATTTTTTTAAATTTGTTGCATTTACAAATTTATAATTGCAATCTTTATTATGTATAATGAAATAATTTTTGACAAAAAAAAAATATAAACCTATAAATTATCTCGACATGTAATAATACAGGGTTACAAAAAAAAAATTGCATTTTTTCGAAAAAAAGATTGGCAGGTGTAAGTTTTCCGTATTTTGATCACGAGAAATTTTTCGTATACTTTAATAAAAACTGTATATTATTGAGCATTAAAATGGCCCCATCCAAACAAGAAACCAACGTCAAACCATGCGTAATGCTGCTGAAATACTCTCAGCAACGAATGTCCCACTTAGGATATTCTAAAAATAATAAATATATTGGAGATGTAAAGAATAAAGGTGGTAGTGTCGTATTAAGAAAATAACACAAATGCATCATGCATCCCGTACAATTGGACAATATATTCGAAGGCAACCTTCAATTTCTGAAACTTCTGTTGTTACTAAATTGAAGGATATTGGAGTTGAGGTCTCCCGCTCAACGGTTTCGAGACGTTTGACCAACCTTGGATATTGAAATGCACTTCTCCTTTGTACACTAACAGTCTATAAACAGAAACGTGTTGAACAGCCCGAATACATAAGGATGATAATTGGAAAAGACCCGTATTTAATGACGAAACATCTTTCAATTATTCCGTAATATAATAAAGCATTGGTATAAAAATGCAAGACCAAATAGTCGAATACCAAAGGAAAGAAGTAATTTATTAGCATGGGTGGTTTTTGTTTAAAAGACAAGGAAATTCTCTTCTGTTTTGAGCGTATAATGGATGGAAACTTTTATACAGAAATATTGGAAAAGCATCTCCCGGAAATGCGCAGTATGTTACGAGGTAGATGATGGCTGTAACAGGACATGATCTTAAGCATACTAGTATTGTTACTAAGGAATTTCTTGATATTAATGTCCCGGAGGTTATGATTGGAGGCCAGTTCTGAATCTCATTGGCAAATGTTAAGAGGAATGTGAAGTTGCATAGGCTAAAAAATTTTTTTGGTGAATTAGAGAGTATTTTTTTGAGTGGAAAAAAATTCCAGATAGCCTTTTAATTAATCTTGTAAAACTCAATGCCAAGCATTTTAGGGAGTTATTGTGAAAGAATATCATTAATTTTTTTAATAAAATATAGAAACCTAAAAGCGTTAAAGCAAAAATTTTGGGATGATTTCTATTTAATATTTAAAAGTTTTGTCTCGCTTTTCTATCTTGTAATTAGAAGCTATTCACAGTTCCATTATTGACAAATTATTTCTTTAATTATTATTAAATCATACGATTATTCGATTTTTCCATAGACAATTAATTAGATCCTCAATAAACATAAATTGAAAAGTATTAAATATTCAATCAAACTCAAACCCCGTATCTAATCATTAATTAATTTACTTCATACAAATCAGTTCAAATAACTCTCAATATGATTTACACTAGAGTTTGGAACCGGTTGCATTTTTGAAACCGAATTTAAAACGGGTGCAACCGGTTTGACCCTATTCAAATCGGTTTTTCAAATCCGGTTGAAACCGATCTTCGCAACCGGTTTTATATTTGTTAATTGTCACATGTACGAATTTTACGTAAAAAACAACTTATGAAGCGTAGGAGATGTTGATGAAGTAATAATGCTTTATTTGAACAAAAACAAATCAGGTTGAAGGATGATCCATTAAAGTGGGTGGTCAGTTAATAAGATTACTTTACCAATTTTAGCTCAAATTGCAAGGAAGTATTTGTCAAACCCTGCAGCATCAATTCCCAGCGAGCGGTTGTTTTCAGATGCAGGTAGCCACATTTTTGCTAGGCGGACTCGATTATTTACAGGATTGGTAAACAAAATGTTATATTTAAAGAGAAATAGCGATATTTTAATATATTTCCTCTTTTGGATTTGCGCAAAATGATCTGCACTTCAGCATTTAAAAAACTTTCATTGTGCCGAAAAAAAGAATTTATACTTTTCAAAAAATTTAATCAAATTACTTCATAAGCTTTTATTAAATTTTATATTGTAAAATTTGCAAATTTTACTAATCTGATTATAAATTTTTGTTAGTATCAAACCGGTTTGGACACCCGGTTGCACCCGTTTTAAACGCAAACCGGTTTTCGTAACATAAAACCGAAAGGTCAGAAAACCGGTTAAACCGGATATAAACCGATGGTCCAAACTCTAATTTATATGACATATTAATAAATAAAGAGTTGATTACTTTTAATAGTTAAAGATCGAAGCGAAAAATAGTCATCTTTGCTAACTTCATTAGCATAATCGCTCACATAAAGGCGATAATTGCCTATTGTCCTCAAATGTTAAATACATTAATACAATACAAATTTTTGTTATAATGAATAATTTCTTAATCTGTGATGCCTGGCAAGAAATCACGTGGGTGAAATTTTTCGTGATGATACTGGTATAAATAAAATAATCACTCAATCCCAAGTGATTTTCTTATGTGGCTCCTTTCTGCGGATTTTTCTTCTACAGGCCAGATAGCTAGGTCTAAGATCGTAGAACCCGGGTAGTTGTAGGTGGGTAGCCTGTCAGTTAGACCCGTTATTAATCTGGATCGATTTTTACAACATCGGAATCTATATTTATCAAAAAGTTAAAAATTGATATATATTTGTTGCTTATGTGTAATTTGCTAACTGAATGCTAATTTGAGAAAGTAATTTATTGTATAAATAAAATATTAAAATTAATTTAAATTAATTATAATTTTTTCCTATTCTTTCAAAACATGGGTAATGATAACGAATATACTTTTGATATTGATGTCAAGACATAAATATAAGTAATGGGTAAGTTGTTATTTATACAGGTAATAAATAAAATATACTTGATTAAATTCATCTGGATGCAATGGGTAAAATCCATATTCAGGGAATAATTCTGACTCGGGTCTTTTTTTTTTTTTTTAGACGGGTCTAGAGGTTGGAACCGGTTATTAACCCGGTTAAAGAATTTTTGGCTGGTTCAAACCTCCTAGACGGGGTCAAAGCACTAGTTTAATTAAAGAAAATAAATGAGAATTTTCATAGCTTTCTTATAAAGTTCTAACTTCATCGGGATGATCGCGTTATATTGATCATTGCATTGCTTTTGTTTTGACGTAATTCCGTTGATTAATATGATTAACATTATTCCATTCGGATATGATCGTGATTTCACCAATCATATTGCTTATTGCAAATATCAAGTTAATTCCACGTTGCTGTATTACTTGCTATTTTTATCCTTTTAAAAAGTGTTAATTTTTTTGAGTTCCAATCCTGAACACTGAGGTTAAATGTTTTACGTTGTACTTGCAAAGTTAAGTTAGCTTCAAAGAATTTTTTTTTTTTTTTAAAAAAAAGAAATTATCCCTTTATTGTCTTTAAAATTAAAAATGATGAATCGGTGTCAATGAAATATCATCTATTACATAAAGCGCACTTCGTAAATATCTTCAAATTCGCTATAATAAACGATGGAACACGATCCAGGAAAATATTAATGAAAAATACAGGAATGTTCAAAGTTACATATATATTTATTTCTAGGTGATAAACTCAACCAGTCAGGAATTTCGTAAATTTGTTTTTCTTTGCACATCATATCCTTATTCAGAATAAAGTTTTTTTTTTGCAAGATTAGAAATAACATTAAAATCGCCGAGACATAACATTTAAATCGCCGAGAGGATAAAAATAACATTGATTATGATCTTGGCAAAGAATACTTAAACCTTTTAAGTTTAAATTGATTAACTGATCAACCCACGTGTATTTATTATAAAGTAAAAAAAAAATTTTTTTTTTATCGATTGACAAATAAAAATTCTTAATACATAACATAACACAGACTTTCAAACAATAAATCTTAAACATTTTATCCATTTTATCCGAACATTCTAATTGTAAATCAACATTTGATAATATCAAATTTTGTATATAATTAAGGTATAAGTATGATAGTTACAAACATTTCCCAGCAATAATCATAATCATAATATTTGAAAATGACTCAAAATAGACCTTTTACAAATTTCGCTTCCATTAATAATGGCCGAATACTTTGGACACGATCTCCAAGAATTATTAATCAAAGAGGAAGAGGAATTCAGTATAGAAGACGACGTGTTGCCAATGTTCAACTCATCAATAATGAAGAAATGTTGAATCGGATTGTAAACCTTCCTATGCAAGCTACAAATGATCCATGTATAAATGGATTTTTCAATGGTATTTCGTTTAATTAAACCAACTTAATCAAAAAAAAACTTTATTTCAGGTGAGAAATTACTTCATAATTTAAAAATAAATAAGATTCATATTAACCGATTTAATATTGCTTTTTATTTTTACATTATCACAACATTTCAATTTATCGTATTTTTTTTTATTATTTATTCATGCCAAAGTAATATTTAATCTTTAAAATATATGTTAAATCCTTTCCCCCCATTAAGCTTTTATGATTTATATGTTATAAGTAATTCATTTATGAACTATTGCTTTTCATCAATAATCTATTTTTTAATTAAACGTTTTAAGATATCAAATTCACGTGATGTTTGAAATAAAAACTGAACTGAATTTTGCCAATTTTTATAATAAATATAAACCATCATTATTTGTTATCATTCTTTAAAGGTCGGGTTTGAAATGTATTCTTTCTCGACCCGTGACTTGACCGCGTCTATAATTTTCGGAACATTATGAACTAATAAATGCTATATATTTCAAACTATAAATTAATTACTTTATTCAAGTAAACTCTTTTTTTTTTATTTTTTTTTAAGAAATTAATGTATAAATTTCAAAATGAATTTAATATGGGTCATTAACTAGTAAAATACTCTCGACTAAAAATGTCCTATTTTTAAAATATCAAATAACAAAATTCTTCCTTCACCTACAACTACCCGGCTTCGACCTTGACCCAGATATCTGGCCCAGCTGTGGGTAATCCGGTTGTACCCTAGTTAATTCATACGATCAATTTTAAATGCGTAATTCTCAAAAAGTAAAAATAATTCAGAGGGATATTTTGCTCGCTTAAAGATAATTATTTGATTTTTTGAAAAGTTTCTATAAATATTAAAAGCTAATAACTTCCATCAATCAAAGCAAGAGATACGCGTTGTGAGATAGCCAAATGTACCTTCTACGATCAATAGATATTGTATTTTCTTTAGAAAAAGATTAAATATATTTCAATAACTCATCAAGAGTGTAGGGACGGTTCAAAAAGAGCGAACCTCAGTCGGTTCTGAAACCGATTATAAGTTCAGCATGTACTGGGTTTTCCTGAGTTACAAACCATTTTTAACCAATTTAATAATCGAACCAGAACGACTATGGACCGGTTTCAAGAAGTCGGCTCAAAACAAAATTAAAGCTAGTAATAGACCATATTTGTTTGATAACCAGTCAAAAAATTTTTTAAGTTGATCAAATCACATGCCTATTAGTATTAATTTAACTTAACGCTCTTATGTTTTGAACCGATAGAACCGTCCCCGTCCCTAGTCATGGTCTAGCAAAATGGACCTAACAAAATGCATTTAAATGTGATCCACATTATTTTATTTTGTACAACAATCCATATAACGACTACTCCGCTCCGTATAATAAAAAATTAAATTGCGTAAAGTAAATTATCAGCAGGTTTTTGTTATGTTATAAAATATTATTATAATTATTATAGATTAAAAATGTGTTTGTTTACGTTGACTATTCTATAAATATAAACTAACTATATTATTCTTTTTTAATATAATTTTTTAGGTAGGTTTAATTCAAGGATAGAGACGTATTTTGGAAATATATCTGCCAATCCAGATCGTCACTGTTAATTATGATTAATTACTAATATATCTTTTTTTATTAATAATAATTAAACCAGAACAGTTAAATAAATAATAAACAAATAATAAATAAATCTTATTACATTAATATATATTTATAAAATAAAAAAAATAAAAAAATTATTAATACCAATAAAAAATCGGTGTTTTTGTATGTATGCATTCAATCGTTTAAATCTTAACTCATCGATCCCGGCGCAACGCGACGGGCTACAGCTAGTGTCTAACTTAAATAATAACGGCATTTTTGTTTAAAAGATGTTAGCCGGGAAATGTATTGGTTTACATTTTAATTTATTGTCGGATGATATGATTAAGTTAAAGATTAGGCTGGGTCATTTCAAATTAATATAATATAGCGTTGAAAGAAGGATATTTATCAGAATTCCAGGCCTAAGTGCTTCTGCTGATCGATTATCTCAAACTCGTCTCGTAATGATAATTTTTGTTAATTATTGTGTAACAAACCATTATATTTAAATTTTAAAAAAATGAAAACATTTGTATTATTATCTATTATTATCTCAAAGATAAAATATTAAAGATTCTGAATTTTAAGTAATCTAAGGTTACAGTACACATGGCAATTTAACTCGTCAGGTTATCATATTGGTGGTTTATAAACCACAAGCATGCAATATAAATTAATTTAACCATATTCTTTAAGCATGAATTTATTTTAAACAATTATGCACATGTCGATATTGTGTAAACATCATCATTGGAACTTTAAAAACTTATTAGTAGAACTATTTGAGATTTTTGTAATGAAAAAGGGGAAAAATGGGTTAATGATAAATCTGAACATATTTTGACATAAAAATCATATTTGGCATATAAAAGTAAAATTGATTGTTTTCCCCTTTTCTACTGCAAAGGTTAGAACATCAAAATTTGTTTTAAAAATCGATTTTTCGATTTTCGATTTCTGTTGGCCCAGATTTTTTTTATAATTCTGGCAAAAATTATAATAATTTAAATTTAGCTGTTTGATAATGAAATTTGCCGGTTACATTATTGAAATTTTTTTAAAAAAATTTTAATAGGAAATAAATTTTCCAAATTTAATCTAAAGAAGGAGAATTAAAATGGATTTACATTGTATACTTCAATATATTTTTTTTTTTGGATTTTATTTGCCATAGATATTTGTAAAAAAAATTAAATTTTCGCGTAAATTAATTATAGGTCTTGTCATATTATTAAGTCCGAGCCGGGCCTGGCTTCAAAATTTGGACTTTAATTCCACCTTATTCTCATCGTTATGATTGAGACATTAAAGAAAAAATTCTAAAATTGTAAATTTGCATAATGTCACCATTACTTAAACA